AATGCTTTGTTATAACACTCAATAGCTTCTTCATATCTCTTTAAATCATTTAAGGAAACCCCTAATGTTATGATTATCAAATATTAATTTTACCCTTATTATTATGAGCATTTGCATTGTTGGGGTTTATTTCCAATGCTTTGTTATAACACTCAATAGCTTTTACATAACTTTTTCCTAAATAGAATGTATTTCCTTTTATAAATTATAGCTTTTCTACCTTCCTATAATATCTTTTTCATAACTTCACTATACATTTTATTAATATGTTCTATAATTTCTTTTCCTTTTATTCTTTCATCACAATTCACTTTTAACATTTTTTTGATAAATTCATCTGATATTTTAAGATTTTTTATCTTATTACTGATAATTGAATCTACCCACAACTATAACTTGTCTTCATTTTCAATTTCCTCTAATTATTTTATAGTTTATTGATTAAATAAAGTTTGTTATGTTAGAATCTCAAACAAAATAACTCCCATTGACCATATATCAATAGATTAATTATATAATTTTTTTTTCTTCACCTCAGGAGCCATATATAAATCAGTTCCAACATTAGATGTTCGACTTTCTATATTTTCATCTTTTGCAAAACCAAAGTCTGTCAACTTGATAACAATTTTATTTTCTTCATAACAACACACAAAATTCTCAGGTTTTATATCTCTGTGAAAATAATTCAAGCTATGTAATTACATTACTCCTTCAATCATCTAATTTTATAAGATATAATTCTTACCTAAATAAATATTTAATATTTTTGATGAATCTCTAATTCTAAAAATTCTTTCTTCTCCATGTATTTTTTAAAGTTACATTATGCAAATTCCATAACTAAAAAGGGTTCAAGATATGGTTTTAACTCCCATTTACCACATTTTATGTTTTGAATTTACTTAGGTTTGAGAATTATTTCTTAAATCCTAATAATATTTTTAAATGAAGCATTTTTCAATAGATGCAAACATTCAATTTATTCTTTACTCAGGAATTATTTAAATTCTTTCACTGCTACTTTTTGTTTTGTTCCTATAATTTCTCCCAGATACACTTGTCCCTCTGACCCATCTCCCAACAAATCTTATTTAATTATATTCATATCCTCATCATCTGCAACAGGATAAAACATTTTTTCAAATTTTCCTATTTCTATTAAAAAATTATATTAATTAATTCTGATAACAATTATGTGTTAAACTTAAATATATATAATCCTTTGGGTATCTTTCCTAAATAAAATTTTTTACAAATTTTCAACTAAAAATACAGATTCAAATGGAAAATTGAGGAAACTTGTAATTAGAAAGTTGAAAGTGGAGAATTAGTTGAATTCCTCTAATCATAGTCGAAAATAATTTTCACTGTGCACACAGCATTAAGGGTATTTAAACAATAATAAGTGATGAGAACATACATAATTTACATTTTATAAAGAAAATCTTTATATTTTAAAGATCTCCAAGGGTTGTCGCTGCTTTGATTCCATAATATTGGTTTTATTATGATACCTATAAAATGCATCATACTCATTTATAATCTTTTTTTTTAATAATTATGACAGTATCAGTAAATTAACTTTGATTGTTTTGGTTAGATTCTTTTTTTTTATAAGTTTGTGTTTCAATCTAGCATAAAATCTTATTAAAGAATATCTAATTTTAAAGCTGCTACCTACCTCTTCATATTTCAGCCATGTCACTTGATGGCTATGTAATCATATATAATCAATTGATTCTAATTTTTCCACATTTGAAAAAAGTCTTTATCAAAGAATTAAATTATTTATCAGCTGCTCTTATTGAGTTTTAGAAAATTATATCCAAAAGAATTATGATAAAAAATTCTATTTAGCACAAGGTTGAAATCCTTGAAATTGCGGTACTTTTAGAGATTTAATCTTTTTATTAAACTTTCATAGTTACTGAAACTATTTGAGAAAATATTCTATGAATTTAAACTTTTGTTTAATAAACAGTAGAAATTTCACCTTTAACCAAAATTAATTCTAGAAACTTTATTGTTTAAGTTTTTATTTTAATTGCAATTTCTCCTCCTTCAAGAGCACCATTATTACTGTTAAGATTGCATCCTTTTCAAAAATTTATCTCCTTTACCCTAATTAACCTAATTTCTAAGCAGCGATTGTAAGGAAACTTGAAAAATTACATTTTGATCATTAGTAGCAATAATTCTTTGCGATTCATGGAAATTGTTTAGATCTTTGTGAGATAATAGATAAAAAGATGATGTTAAGCTTCAATTTCAAATAAATTATTGCTTTGTTAAAGTGTTTGTAAGTTATGATTAATCAGATTTGATTTTATTCACATAATCTTTTATTGTGTTAGATCAACAAATAAGAGTCCATGAAGAATTTTAATGAGAAATAGATTATAAATCAGAATTCCATTTACTTAATATGATTTATCTCACTCACTCTTTTTTATATCATATAAATTTATCAATCTAAGCTAAGAGTCGCTATTTTCTATATAATTAATTAAATAATGAATTTTAATTATCCTGATTTAATTTAATTAATTATTTTTAAAATAACATCATCTAAATTATTATTTATCATTTATTTTTTAAGCCAATAAATGTGACATTAACAATATCCTCTGATATACTAAATAATGAGGATCCATTGTCAAGTATTCCATTAAATGAAGTTAAGATTCTATTTCAGCAAACACACTCTTGTTTATTTATCAAAAATCATCAAAAGATTCGAATAAGAAATTTAGAACCATATATAAAATTATAATTAAAATTTTTCTAATTTATAAGGAAATTCTTTTTAGATAATAAATTTTATTGCCTCATATTAAACCTAATGAGAATGAAAAAGCCGAAAAATAAACTAATAGTAATAATTTGTAGGAGAAATTCATAAATGCATATTTATCAAAAGACTACAATTTGAATTATTTAGTAATTCAAATAACAAATACTTTTGAAACGAGATTATTATTTAAATTTTGGTTTTTGAAATATTCTATCACACCTTTGTTCTTGTGATTCCTCTAAGTAATAATAAATTAAATTAGTTTTTGAGTTGACATTTTTGATACTTTTTTAAGGAATTGAATGAAATGTTTATAAGTTAAATTAGTTAAATAAAAAAATTACCCGCCAATCGATTATTGCATCATTAACTTATAACCTATCAATAGGTTTAGCCTGTATTTATATGAAACTTCGCTATTCTACAAATCTTACTGGCTTTAGAAGATGAATATATAGTCATGCATTAAAAATTGGCTAATCACTCGCAGAAATTTTTTTCAAAGGATAGAAAGACATTAAGCATGATAGAATATATAAGTGAAAAACATTTTTTTTAATTATTAAAATTAGAATCAACTTGGGTAAAGTATATATAATTAGACTACACTAATAATAGATACATAATTACAGATGACCCAAGACCAAATAGAAAAGAATGATTTTTTTTTTAATTTTCAAAAAGTGATTTAATAGAAATACCTAATCAGTATTATTCATTATCCATAAATTAATAAAAATAATTATTCTCATTATAATAATAATATAATAAGAAGAGACACTAGATGACCCAAGTAGACAAAAGAAACTTAAAAGAAATTATCACAGCAATAGGTAATAGGATTAAAGGAAGAATAATAATACATAAAGATAGTCTTTTTTCAGATTTCAATCAAATAATAATCAACGTAACACCTATTAGAAGACAAATAAAAAATATCAAATAGTTAGAGAAAATTGAAGAACAATTTGATACATAACAATAGCATGCATCATATGGGAAATAATACAATTACAACAAATAAGCATAAACCTGGGAGAAAGAAATAATAAGACTTGAACAGAAATATGGGAGGTTGTAGAACTGACTGGTGATTTATTCATTTAAACATTTATTTTTTTATAACGATTTAAATAGATGGAATTTTAATGAGTTATATTTTCAATTGGTTATACTTTTAAGAGATGGAATTTTACATGTACAGATTTCTAACAAAAGTCCAGATCTAGAGTATAAATTCATGATTAACAGAGTTTAAAATATTTTAAAACTTTTTAAAAACTATTACTTAATATATTATTAATTCTAAAAGCATTTTCTTATGTAATTATTTATTATTTTTAGAGATTATTTTAAATCTGTCTAAAATTATTTAAGTTTAATATAACTTTAACTATCGTTTAAATTATGATGAATAATTTGAAAAAAATATAAATCACATTTCATTTTCAAATTCTTAAGTTACAAATTAATCAACATTTTTTCATTTAAATTCATCAATACTATCATATTTGCTCTTCTATCAAAGATTCTGTTTATTAGAATGACTAATTTTATATTTATATTTATTATTTCAAAATAGTCAATATTCTTTACTACTATTATTTAACTTATAGTTGTATTTACTTAATTTAAGAATAGAAAATAATTGATATAATATTCATATATCAATCTGTAATTAGTAATTAGCTTATTGTAATGATAATTATGTAATTTGAATTATGAGATTTTTTATTTAATTAAATAATTAATCGTTGTTTATTAATAAAATGTAGGACATAGAATTAGAAGATAAAAAATAAAATTTATTAATATCATCAATAATGGATATGTATTAGTTATTAAAAAAAAAATTTAGAATTTAGGATGTTTTAGAATAAATCAAAATTAATCAAATCTAACGAAAAATGTTTAATTTAACCACTTTAATATAGAAGCAGAAATAATAATGATTTTTTTTAAATTAATTATGTAGCTAAATTGAAGAAAAATTCTACCTAAGAAGTACATTGATTTGTAATTACAAAAAACTCTAATACTTTACAGAGATAAACAAACTCATAGATAATTTTATTAACTAAACTAAATTTAAAGGAGTTATTGAATAAATCTCATTTGTTTATAAAGAATTATCAAAATTTGAAGTCCTGGTAAATCTGTTATATTCATTCAAACCAAACCATCATATTTTTAGAAGCTATATTTCTAAATGTAAATCAACACTATCCTGAGGTGATATAAAGTAATTATAAGTGAATATTTGATATAAATGTAAAATATATCTATTGGCAATCAAAATAAAGTAGATTCCTTAAAGATTTAAAGAACAATCAAAACTTATGAAGTTGATTTTACTGAATATTGATAATTCTTTAAGAATAAACCTGTTTAAAAAAAATATCTAATTCTTTATACAAAGTATGTTGTTCTGAGTTGATTATATCATCTAACAAATTCATGATGTTNGATGGAATTTTAATGAGTTATATTTTCAATTGGTTATACTTTTAAGAGATGGAATTTTACATGTACAGATTTCTAACAAAAGTCCAGATCTAGAGTATAAATTCATGATTAACAGAGTTTAAAATATTTTAAAACTTTTTAAAAACTATTACTTAATATATTATTAATTCTAAAAGCATTTTCTTATGTAATTATTTATTATTTTTAGAGATTATTTTAAATCTGTCTAAAATTATTTAAGTTTAATATAACTTTAACTATCGTTTAAATTATGATGAATAATTTGAAAAAAATATAAATCACATTTCATTTTCAAATTCTTAAGTTACAAATTAATCAACATTTTTTCATTTAAATTCATCAATACTATCATATTTGCTCTTCTATCAAAGATTCTGTTTATTAGAATGACTAATTTTATATTTATATTTATTATTTCAAAATAGTCAATATTCTTTACTACTATTATTTAACTTATAGTTGTATTTACTTAATTTAAGAATAGAAAATAATTGATATAATATTCATATATCAATCTGTAATTAGTAATTAGCTTATTGTAATGATAATTATGTAATTTGAATTATGAGATTTTTTATTTAATTAAATAATTAATCGTTGTTTATTAATAAAATGTAGGACATAGAATTAGAAGATAAAAAATAAAATTTATTAATATCATCAATAATGGATATGTATTAGTTATTAAAAAAAAAATTTAGAATTTAGGATGTTTTAGAATAAATCAAAATTAATCAAATCTAACGAAAAATGTTTAATTTAACCACTTTAATATAGAAGCAGAAATAATAATGATTTTTTTTAAATTAATTATGTAGCTAAATTGAAGAAAAATTCTACCTAAGAAGTACATTGATTTGTAATTACAAAAAACTCTAATACTTTACAGAGATAAACAAACTCATAGATAATTTTATTAACTAAACTAAATTTAAAGGAGTTATTGAATAAATCTCATTTGTTTATAAAGAATTATCAAAATTTGAAGTCCTGGTAAATCTGTTATATTCATTCAAACCAAACCATCATATTTTTAGAAGCTATATTTCTAAATGTAAATCAACACTATCCTGAGGTGATATAAAGTAATTATAAGTGAATATTTGATATAAATGTAAAATATATCTATTGGCAATCAAAATAAAGTAGATTCCTTAAAGATTTAAAGAACAATCAAAACTTATGAAGTTGATTTTACTGAATATTGATAATTCTTTAAGAATAAACCTGTTTAAAAAAAATATCTAATTCTTTATACAAAGTATGTTGTTCTGAGTTGATTATATCATCTAACAAATTCATGATGTTTCATTAAAATGTAACTATCTTTAAAAATCTACTGAGTTTGGATGATTATAAAATATCTTAAAAATAACGTAATTAAGTAATATAATGATAAGATGAGTAATGTTGATTCGAAATAAATGGTTCAACAACAAATAAATAATAAAATATTTAGTAGAAAAAAATATTTGATATTTAGATTTATCATTAATCATACCTACAGATATAATAATTGTCTTTTTAGGATATTATAAAGTAATCACTACATATTTTTGGATTGTTAAAACAAAGTTTCATAATAATTGAAATAATCCAAAAGAATTGGATTATTATTGGAATGAAAAATTTCATATTTAGTATTATTTTGCTTATGTTGGAATATAGTTATAAGAGCAGAATCATTGTTAATATACATTTAATGATTTAAAACAAATTCTTTATATAATTTAAATGTTAGTTTTAAAATACTCTTTATTTGATAGTAATTAAATTAATTTACTCATATATTCAAATATATTTTTTGTACATACACAATTATAAAATTATCAAATTCTAATATTTTTGCTTTTGTTATAATAAACATAATTTGAATCCTATTATTTAAGAGTAATACTAAAAAATATCATTCTGCCATAATGAGAACAACTATTGGCTCATTCCTATAGTTGTTATTATTATAATTGCTTCTAAGATTATATATAATAATTTACCATTTAAAATTCTTGCTGCTTA